CTGCTCTGCCTTCTGCTATTTCTTGAAAATTGGCAACTGGATCCAGAAATTGTTAGTTTCAGGTTGAATTTTATTTTTTCATTTTATTTTTCAGTTAGGTGAAAAGATACTGGGCAATTCTGGTGTTTTTTTCTGAGGTGATTTTGGCAGTCATTAATGATTACTTTACTTGATAGTTCATCTGGATTACAAAATGGAAATACCCTAAGAAGCTGGTGAGATGGCTCAGTAGTTTAAGGCACTGACAGCTCTTTTCAGAGGATCTGTGGTCAGTTCCCAGCACCCACATGGTGACTACAAATGGCCCATAATTCCAGTTCTAAAAGATCTAACGCCTTCTAATGGCCTCTTCAGGGACTGCATGCAAAGGTGTACTTAGATAGATGCAAGTAAAATACTCATATACATAAAAATAAATAAATACACAATGGAAATACTCTAATTTTAAAAATTACCTTTGATTTATTAGTTGAAATATTATTGTAAAGCAATGCTCCAGTGGTACAGTTTATGCAGGAAGGCAGGATAAAGTCCCAATTCTTTCACATTTGTCCTTTTTCAAAACAATGAATTGATTTCTCATTGCATTAAAACAGTGATAAAGTGTGATTTCTTACCTAAAGTGTATCTTCCAGATACATTGTTAACTTATCTTTTCCTCCTTTCTAATTAAAAAGAATCTGTGGAGTAATAATTTGAGACAATCTTGTTCTCAAACTTTCACCCAATTGCTTTAGCGTCCTTTGCTAATCATTTCCTTGAATAAATTATGATATAACAGATGTGAAATGGAAGAGGCTGGGAAGATGGATCAGTAGTTAAGAGTACTTGCTGCTGTTTCAGAGGACCAGATTCAGTTCCCAGCATCAATGTCAGGTGGCTTACAACTGCCTGTCACTCTAGTTGTAGGGGATCTAATTTAACACCATCTCTGGTCTCTGCAGATACCTGCACACATGTGAGCATGCAGATGTATGCATGCATGTACAACACACAGATACATATAAATCTTTTTCAAAAATATTTATTTTATTTAAAAGTATATAAAATAGTGCTTTTCTGGTTAAATCATTTCTTCTATGTTTATTAGCTTTCATTATTCTATATAGGAAATGTTTTCCCCTTTCTCTCCCTTTCTCAGTGGGAATCATTGATTCTTTTTAGGTGTTATTTATTGAGACCAGTTGTAACTTTCACCAGCCCTCAGCTCTCCTGTCATGTGAAGAGGAGGTTTTATGGGATGTGTGGGAACACTGAGGGTGTCAGGCCACAGATCACACCCCCATTTCCCATCACAGTTGCTGAAATGGACTAAACTCACATGTTCTTTTCCCACGTCTTTTCATAGTGGAAATTCAGCCAGAACGGAGCCCTGAAGTGGCTAACAAGAGAGACGCCTCCATAGTTTGGGAGTCAGGCATCACTGCCGGTATCCTGCTAATGACTTCAAGGTCTTAGAAATTGATCCGCTGAGTCTGTTTCCCAATCTGAGAAAAATGCTAAACAATAATAGTAAGACCGCTTGATAGAAGTCTGTGAGCCTGGGTGAGTCTCTGTGATCCTTCAGGAGCTGACGGCAATGATCAGGAAGCCAGAGTTTGAACAGGTTGAACCACTGAATGCTTTCACTCCTGTTGCTTCATCTTTTGTGTCAGATGAAAAGATTAGGCGTTGAGGGACCATTCAGGACTCAGTGTGAGTGAAGACTACCCTGTTTCTGTGACTCCCTGACTGAACGAAGGTGTCCTGATTAATGAGAATCCACAAAAACCTGCTTTTGCCTTTCCGGATTTTTTTCTTTCTTTTTAAAAAAGATTATAATAAAATTTGCATAACATGACATATGCCATTTTAACCACTTTTAAGTGACAGTCCAGTGGTCTTAAGTGCTTTCACATTACTGGGCAACCATCCCCACCATCTGCATCCATTTTCTTCTTTCCCACTTAAACTCTGTATCACTAAGCACTACCTCCCCACCTCCAGCTCCTGCCCCCCCCCCAAGCATCCTCCACTCTGCATTCTGTCTCAGTCCATATAGACAGATGGATGATATAGGTCCATCATAGGAGAGAAATCATACATCATTGGCCTCTCTATGACTGGCTTGTGCCTCTTAGCATGGTCTTCACGTTGGCATACAGTATGTCATGTGAGGAGTTCCTTCTGGTTTTATTGTGATAAAGAAAATACAACATAAACTAAGTTTCCTTCAGATCCCAATAGACACATCATGTAACACGGGTCAAAACAAAAGAACCAGGATGGAGGTCAAGTATTTGACCAAAGGGAAGGCCTTATTACCTGGGGAATTAATTCTATTCTCACAGGAACTGGACTGTCTACAGTAAATAAACACTAAAGAGTTGAGAGCAGTTAGGATACAGAGCAGAAGAAAGTAGAGCATGGAGTGTGTGAACTAGGAGTCCCGAGAAGAGAAACAACCCGGTGTTTTGGCCTGACTCGAATCAGCAAGGGGGCTTGAGCCTTCCGGAAGAATCAGGACAGCTTTTTCAGCCTGGACTTCCTGTCTCTGTGATCCCAGTGGGTGTCCCAGAAGGTGAAGGTAGACATGTAACTGAATGCCGTGCTGCATATGAAATTGCAAGGGGGTGGTGATCCCCGGGGCTCAGTGGTACCAGGCAGGAAGTTGTATGCGCGCAGTCATTTTAGTCACATGTTGCTGCCCTCTTTGTGTGATACATCTTTACCCCCATTGTCATCGTGGTCATACAACAGGCCTCTCTTCATTCTTACATTGGACATGCATGGCACATGCCCATTTCCTTCCTCATGCTAAGCAGCTTTCTTAATAACATTGAGTACCTGTCACTGTCACAAAAGGAGCCTATGTTCTATGCATATATGCTTTTACTCAGGCAAACAGTGTTGTGTAATAATTTAGGCTTCTAGCATGAACTAGGTGTGTGCATTTGTTCCACACATCTACCTGCTGTACTTAGTGAAGTATCTTCACTGCAGGTCAGCTTCCCCCTTTCCTAAGGACAGCCCTGGCATAGCCTCCGGTGTGACACATAACTCGCTGTTATTTTGTTTGTGCTGCTTGACCCCAGATAAACTGTGAACTGCTTGTAAATAAAACCCTTGGCTTTCTGCTGTAATTTCTGCTGATTTTCCATTACAGCCAGTGTCTACATTGTACTGTATGCTACACAGCAATATGGAGCTGCCAGTAGATTCTTCCTGAGCTGAGTTTACTTGCGCTTGACTCCTTCAGGTTCTTAGGAAAGGTCTACACAGCTGTATTAAGTATCTCTGCATCTATAAATGCAGAAAATGCCATCTGCCTTAGTGTCTGTGATGAAGTTAACTAATACTAAGCAGTCCTGCATAGCAAATGGCTTAATATGCTGTTTAATAAATGGTGCCTGCTATGTGCCCTACTGGGTATCTCAAATTAGTTATTTGTACCTGTCTATTCTTCTAACAAAGTATAAGAATTCTGAATATGGGATCCTTCCAAGTACTTTATAACTGCTCAGGGCCCAGCTGTTTGTTTTTTGTGCTATAACTCATATGGCTAAGTTGCTGTGGTTTAAACAATTTTGCTCCCCCCAAAATTAACATTGAAAATCCTCAGTGCAACAGTACAGCAAGCAGACTGTCATGAATGGGATTAATTGCCCTGATAAAAGCTAGGTCTGGTGGCCCAGGTTTCTTAATTCCGGGTACTGAGTAGTCTAAGGCAGGAGGACTGCAAGCTTGATGCCAGACTGAGCTATAGGGCAAATTCAAGTCTAGTTTGCACAAATTAGTGATACTCTGTCTCAAGACAAAAACTAACAGATGAGATAAGGGTAGAGTTCAAAGATGGTTTAGTAGGTAAGGCACTTGTCACATAAGCATGAGGACCTGAGTTTAGATGCCCAGAATTCACCTACTACTAGATGGATGTTAGCACATCTGTGAAATTCATAGAAGCTTGCAGGCCACCTAGTCTGGCGTGCACACCAGGGAACAACACGAGATCTGTCAGAAATAAGGCAGAAAGTGAGGGCAGACACTCAAGATTGCCCTGTGACTTCCACGAGCACACTCTGGCATGCACTGAAACATGGACACAGAGAGAGAGAGAGAGAGAGAGAGAGAGAGAGAGAGATCAGTGGGAGGGCTATGAAAGGGTGCCAGTGGGCAAAGGCGTACAAAGATAATTAAGATGTTCTGTATGGAATACACATAAATTCAGAGAGAGAGAGAGAGAGAGAGAGAGAGAGAGAAAGAGAGAGAGAGAAGATCATTAAAAATGGGCTAGGGATGTAGCTCAGTGGTAGTTTGCTTAGCATGTGCTGAGGCCCTAGGTTCAACCCCTAGTTCTGCAAAAATAAAAATGAAAAAGAAAAAGAAAACTCTGCTGAAGAACTCTATCATCACTCACTGTAAAGGATCCTTGCAAGCCTCTGGCAACTCTTTAAGTGCCCTTGAGCTTAGTGTCCTTGTGTTCTCTGTGTGGCAGAAATACCATCCATTAGTCTCTACTCGCACATTTCTTGAATGCTAAATTCTCTTGTGATTACTTTTCTAGATCAGCATACCACACCTACACTGACTGTCCCAATAACACCCGAAATGGGTCAGAATGTCTAGAACTGAAATGTTTGGGTGATAACTCTGAAATTACTTATGAATGTTTAGTATATTGCTTCAAAGATAAAACAAAGCACCTTGCTAATATCTGAAATGTGGCTTTTGTTTGGGAAGATAAATAAGTGCTCTTCCAAGAACTTGCACTAAGAAAGACAATAAGGATAACCCAAAATACAATGTGGCTGCTGCTCTGTGTAAGGAATGGGGTATCATCACCCTGACATGGTGTCAGGAAATAGAAAGGGTCCAGTTTACTCAGAGAAAAGTCAAAAAGCTGTGAGACATGAGCTGGCCAGCAGACAGAAGTTGGAGCAGGAGGACAAAGGCATCATCCTTTAGAGAGGGCTGACATCACCAAGACAGACCTTTGTGGTTTTTTTTTTTTTTTTTTAAATAAAGGGAGAGTGTGAATGCAGTCCCCCACTTCCACAAATTCTGCAGTCGAGTTTCCCACATTTGGGGAAATCGCAGGGATCAGCGCATCTGGAGTGCAATAGATAAGCCTCACCCTGGGAAAACCACCTTCATGATCATGGTATCTCCCCTGCCAGGTAAGTATTGGGACCTTTGTGTTTTGAGACTAGACATTATGTATGAAAACCAAAATCACTTGCATATGAACATTTCTGTCAGAATGAGAATGATGCTGTGGGTCTCCCGCGGCTAGTCTGCTCTCCCTGGAACAAATATTTCTATAACATGTTCTTTCCCTGCTTTATTATTTAAATTATTAAAAATGTCAATTTTTTTGAGACAGGGTCTCATGTATCCCAGGCCTGGAACTCCCTATGTAGCCCAGGATGACCTTGAACTTCTGATACCTGTGCTGAGATGGAAAGGATGGGGAGGAGATACTAGGGGGAGACAGGGTGAAGGGATTTTTTGAAACACACCAACAGTGAGTGCAGAAGGGAAACTAACAGCCTTCATTGTGATTTTACCTAATAAAAACCTTATTTTTCTGGACTAGTGATGATTCAGCAAATCATCAGATATGCTGTGTGCAAACAGAATGCTTTTTCACGTTTGGTATTTTTATCTTGCGGCTGGTAAAGGCTCAGCAAAACACAAATTTAAAAAAAACATTAAGACTTTGTATTTTCATGCAAGTTTCATACATATCATGAATAAATATACAAATTGCTTTTACCAAACCACTTTTAAAGTTTTGCCTCCTTTTCTTCCCTAATTTGCAGGTTAGCCATAAAGCTCAGGTTGGCATATACTGTCACACATATGCCCACAACAAGCCAGGTTGATCAGAGATCCAAACTTCCTTCAAATCATTAGCCATGGAGATGAGCATACATAGAGACTGTGGCCATCTGATAGGACTGGTCTCCACTGTTCTCTATAGACTAAAAGTTTAAAAAGAAATGTATGCTGAATATTGATCCAAAGTGTCTCATAAAATCTTAGCTACAAAGAAGTCAAAGGACATCAGTAGTGGGGCTCCTTTAGGGTGCATATCATATCTACTGTGAGTCCTCACACCTGCTATTGGGGATATAAATTAGGGTTTTTCAAAAGACCAAAAGGAATCATATACTTTCCAGAGGGTGCTAACTAAAAGATGAAGCCCGTTTTTTCTTTTTTGAAAATGTCTTACATCAGTATTGTCTCTGCATTATTTCTGTCACTCCCAGTCTCCCACCAGAGCCTCCTGTGTCCCTACACACACACACTCTCTCTCAATTTCTTGTTCTCTTCTTTGATTATTATTAGGCCTGTCCATTTGAGATTAGATAACCTCTAGGGACCTAGTCCCTGGAGAAAACTGATTCTCCTTCCCTCAGCATCCATTGATTGCCTGTAGCTCTTCACCTTGAGTGGGATCCCATGACCCCTGTAGCTCTTCACCTTGAGGTGGGGATCCCATCACCTTGAGGTGGGATTCCCCCCCATACACCTTGACATGTCAACTGGTTTTGTCATTATTCAGATATCATTAGACCACCACACTGTAGAGACCTCATTGGTGTAACTTCCCTATCATGTCTAGAATGCATTAACCAGAAGGACGTGTCTTGACCCTCTGCTCTTATATTCTTTCCACCTCCTCTTCTGAGATGTTCCCTGAGCCTTGAATGTAGAGGATGCATTATAGCTGCATCACTTAGGGTTGGGCACCTCACAGTCACTTGTTCTCTATATTGAATTATATCATAATATGGTACAAATGCATATCTTATTATCACATTCTTAGATATATCAGATTATTAAGACATATATTAGGGGCTATGAATGTACAGTCTAGAGATAAATTGATATCTAGCATGGGCAAGGGCCTATAGCATTACCCCACAAGAAAAACACAGAAGACTTGTATTTAGCAAATGGAATCATGGAAGAAGTAGAAAAGGATAAAAGGAGCTTTCAAAAATATTTTATTATTTTTATTTTATGTATATGAGTGTATTGCCTACTATTTATTTATTTATTTATTTATTTATTTATTTATTTATTTATTTATTTGGGAATAGTGGCATGCTAGACCATGGTATGGAGGTCAAAGTCCAAACGTGGGTAGTCAGGCTTGGTTGCAAGGGTCTTTACCCACTGAGCCATCTTGTTAGCCCCATTTATACACTTTATTTAAGACAGTATTTCACTGTTTCCCAGACTAGCTTTGAAATCATTTTGAAATCCTAGTTGGTCTTAAATTTTCAAGCCTCTTGCCTCAGCCTTCCAAGTAGCTGGGATTATAGGCCTGTGTCACCAAGCCTGACTCTATCAAGCATTTTTAACTGCAGGATTGGAGACGATGTCCAGCAGATGTGCAGTTCCAGCATACAAATGGCTCACTGGTTGGCAACAGTGCCTTGTCTTAGTAATGTTCCTACAGCAGGTGAGCACAGGAGTGGAATGACTGTCCCCGAGGACTCTACACAACCTCCTCACACCAACCCTCACCACCTCACCCATTCTCACCAGAGAATCCTCGAGAGGGGCTTCATCTTCATCCCCCCTAAAGGTCAAGCATGTAGATGTTGGGCAAAGGCACAAAAACAGGATATAAACTGCACAGTAGCAGTGATACAGAAATTCAGTTTCTTAGTATATATTACTACTTTACCCAAGTGAATTGGTTTTAGTGAACAGTTGGACTTTTCTGAGTGAGGATTAGTATATGCCTATGATATAACTTACCCCTGAAGGACCTTTCAAAGAAGCAGCTAAACTTTCTGGTTTAAAAATGCTGCCAATTTCTAAACCAATGAGAAGTAAACAGATATTATTCCCCATCACTATTCCTTAACTAGGAAATGTTCCTTCATTGTTGTTTTTTGTTTTTTGGTAGATTTTTTTTCCCATTCCTAGGCCCCGTTTTGAGGTTTTATTTTTTATCTTATTTTCATTTGTTTTTACTGAATTTTTGTGTATTTCATACAGAACATCTCAAACAATCTTACTCGTCTTTATACCCTTGTCCCTACCGGCACCCTCCTGTAGCCACTGGAGCCCATATACTCTATCATCCCTGTTAAGGCCCACTGTGTTGTCAGTGCCCCCAGCCATTCTGCAGTGCTGTCCATCTGCTGAGTCTAGTCAGCCTATTTAGAGTCCCTTTTTAAGGAAGATCAGCTCTTCTACACTTAGCAGAAATCAGTTGCCAATATTTCTTCAGATAAGACTGGGGTCTGTTGTTCATTTCCCCAGTTCTATGTTGGGTTTTTGTCTGTCTGAGTTTGCATAGGACTTGTATATGCTGACATCATTGCCATAGAATTATATGAGCAGGTATCCAGGAGCTAGTAGGACTCTGTTTCTATATAGTTATGCACGTCCTCCCTGGCTAGTACAATCTTTCCACCCCCTCTTCCGATATATGGTTTCTGAGCCCTGGGTGGGCGAAATTTAATATGAGTCCTGTCCAAGGACCAGTGTTCAGCAGACTCTTAATCTCTATGCTTTGACCATTTCTGACCTTTTGTATTCCTGGCCCTCTGCTGCACGAGGGAACTTCATTAATGAAAATTGAGAGATTCATTAATGTCCTCTATTACCCTTATTCTTACCCCTGTTCTATGTTCCATGAGCCTTAGGTGTAGCAGTTGCATTGTAAATGTGTCCCTTAGGCCTGGGCAATTCAGAAACAATGTCTGTGTGTGACCACTTGTGGTACTTGGTGATAGTCTCCTACTGGTGCAAAATGGGCTTCTTGAATGAGTGGGACTAGGATATTTGTCTGTAAATATAAGGACACATATTTTGCACAGAGTAAGAAATAACATTAGTGTAGGGAAGTGTCAGTCTTGGGGTTTCCTCTAAGATCTGTGACCACTCCAGCCATGTGTAATTGGTTATGTTTACAGTACCACCTTTGAGTTTCCTCCCACTGAGTGGGCTTTTAGTCTAATTAGGTAGCTGTTGATTGCCCCCAAGATAAAAGTTCCACTACTGCACCAATGTCGTATGCTGTGCAGGTCTTTGAAGTCGTTATTTGGTCTTGAAGCTGGTGTTGGACCATTGATAGATGTTTCCCTTGGCACCTTCATAGCACTCTCCAAAGCTGTGAGAGCTCGCCTTCAAGGGAAATGATTTCAGGTCAGTTGCAGCTCTATTGCTCCAAATCCTGTGTCTGAAGTATGTTCTGTCTTCAGCAGTAGGGACTTACCTCCCAGTTCCTGCATTGTTTTTAAGACAGGGTGTTAGGTGTAGTAGCTCACACCTGTGATCCCAGCACTTGACAGACAGAAGCAGAGGATCAGATGTTCAAGGTCATTCTCAGCCTAAAAGGAAGTTAGAGACCTACCTGTGCAATGTGAGGCTGTCAGAAGAGAAGAAAGAAAAAGAAGGATGCAGCTGCAGAAGAACATGAAAAGCTAGCTCTTTGTCCATTTGTATAGGTTCAGATAACATCAAACATGGGTCAGTCTTAAATACTGACTACTGACAAGCACAGAGACAATGAGGGTCCGTGCTGTCACAGACTGACACAGTCCCTGCCTAAGAGACAGACCATAGCCAAATGCTCATAGAAGAATGGTGAACTCCTGTACCTTTTGTAGAAAGACAGAGGGCACCAAGTAACCAACATGGACACTAAACCCTCTTCTGGTGTATGGTGTATCGACTTCAGTGATAAAAAGTTCACTCTGTATTTTCTGGGATACAAATGTGGTCCCAGCTTTTGGCTAATAAAAGCAACATTAGGAGTTCAAGACCCACCTGAGCTACAAGGAAACCTGTTTCAAAACAAAACAAAAGGGACTGGAGAGATGGCTCAGTAGTTAAGGGCACTGGAGGGTGGCTAGAAACTGTAACTTCAGATCCAGTGGATTTGATGCCTTCTTCTGAACTCTGGAGGCATTGCACAACACAGGTGAACTTACATACATGCAGGCAATACACTCATACACATAGCATAAAAATAAATAAAATATTAAAAACAAAAGCCTCCTGGTCTTAGCATTCAGCTACTATACTACTACTACAATTAACAAGAACCTCAACAGTCCACATTTTCTCAGAGGATCTGACCCAATGCTACAAAACAAGAGCCTGGAGGGCAGGCCAGTCAGCTCTCTTGTGTTTTATTGAACGCATCCTCCATGT